TCCCCGTGCCCCTTGCCCCACAGCCCCCCAGTGCCTGGGATGTGGCCCCTGCGCCCTCCCGCCAGCACTTGCCGGCTGCGCCCTGGTGCCATCCGCTCCCGTCCCCCTCTGTCCCTGGTGCCCTCAGTGCAGGGTCCCCCTTGGCTCCATGGGGGTTGGAGCAGGTAGACCTGGTGAGGTCCCCAGGGGTCTGCGGGGTAAGGACATTGTGCCAGGACCACAGGTGACCTCCTGCCAGCCCTCAGGCTCACCAGGGGTCTGGGGTGTTCAGGAAGACTGCCAGTGCTGGGGGCGGATTGGGGGGCCAGTGCTTCTGCCCGTGGTGAGGAGGCTGAGACTGGGGTGGTGCTGCCATGTGCCCCACATGCCCTGCTCTGGGCCTGCCGGCAGCAGCTGGTGGTGGGTCAGGGAGGACTTGCCAACCCCAAGGCACCCTGAACACCATGCCTCAGTTTCCCTGGCCTGGCTCCCGTGGTGCAGTTGGAAAAGTAGCCCTGGAGAAGGGATGCAGGCAGCAGTGGGGACAGCCATCCCGTCCACCCCGGCTCTCTGGAGCTGCACCCCTCCCCAGCGCCTCCAGGAGAGCCATGGGGTGTCCAGCTGGGTGACAGCCCTGCTGCCCTGGCACTGTGGTGCTGAGCCCCGCGGAGGGGTCTGTGCTGGCATGGCCACTCCTGCTCCCGCCAGCTGCCGGTTGGCCATGGGAGCCAAACCTGGCTGCCCTCCCGTGGCGTTGCTCTGGCTTCCCGGCACGCTTGCTGGATGCTCCGCCACCAGAGGCAGAGCCGCGGCATCCTGTGTCCCTGGTCCCCCTGGTCCCCACCCTGCTGTGTCCCCTGGCCCCATTTGCCGCCCCTCTGGGTCAGGATGTATCTGTATGGGCTGGATGACTCGGAGGCAGTGAGTACCCTGGCAGGGCAGGGGCAGAGAGATGGAGGGCAGCTTATCTCTGCCCCTGTGGCTTTGGGGAAAGGATCCCTTGAGGGGCTGCTGCCCTGTGGATGGGGGTCAAAGCCTGTGCAAAGGCAAGCTGGCCTCTCCCCCCTGGTATTTGGGAGAGATGGGGTAGATCTGACCGCCCTGCGCAGTGGGAGCTGAGGACAGGTACAGGGTGGGCATTTGCCCATGGTCTCTACCCCGACACTGATGTGCCCACGTCTGTGCGGTGGCAGCGAGGGGTGTCAGACCCACACCGCAATTAGCACAGCTGGGTCTGTAGGTAGGACTGGGGGCTCCTGCAACTGGGGGGGCTCTGGTGGGTCTTCAGGGATTACAGAGGGGCTGTGAGGGGGCAGCAGTGCCCCCCACAACCCCTAGTGCTGGGGAAGGGAGAGCAGCCCTCCAGGAGCAGCTGGTGCCTTTGCTGTCCTCCGAGGTGCCCAGTGCCCTGGCGCGGGGGGTGTCCCTGGGTCCCTCTGCCGCACAGCCCCACTGCCCCCTCCTGGGCTCCTGCTCCAGGCTGAGCCAGGAGGGCAATCCGGGCAGGGTGAGCAGGAGGTGGCTGCCAGCCCGGACTCCTGGGTTCCTTCCCCAACCCCAGCCTTGTCCTGGGATGACCCTGAGTCACTCCGCACCTCAGTTTCCCCATTGCTGCAGGACCCTGCGGCGGATGGGGCAGAGCTTTCTCTGCGGTGGGGGGACAGCCTGGGTGCAGCCGGTGACTCCCCGGCCTTCAGGCAGCGTGGGCAGGTGGGTGCGGACGCCTGGGTTCCCCCTTGCCTTCCTGGCTTTGACGGGAGGCCTCGGCAGCCCTGGCCATGGCGGGGGACGGGAGCAGGCGCTGTCCTGCACCAGTGTCGGCTATCACGTTCCGGAGCGGTCAGAACAGCTGCACGCTGGCCCTCGACCTGCCGTAACCCCTGCTGCCCCAGCCCTGCCTGCTTAGTGGGAAACTGAGGCACGGGGTGAGGGCAGGGGTGTCCTGCACCCTGCTTCTCCCACTAATCTCAGCAAGGAACCCAGGTGTCCAGGCGCAAAACGGTCTTGGATTTTCACAACCTCTTCCACTTTGCCTGCAGGCATAGCACCCATCCTGGATATGGCTGGGCAGGATTTACCCCTGCCTGGGGAGGAGGCAGATTTTGGGGGCGGCTTCTCCCTAGCGTGCCCAAAGGGCACAATGACAGACGTCATCCCTAACAAGAAGGGCCTGGGGGGAGATGGCCACATGGCCTGGGCTGATGCTGGGCTTGCTTGTTCTGGGGGCGGGGGAAGACAGGGTGCCCTGCCTGTCACGCGTTAACATGCTCTCTTTGCTCTCCCAGGGCTCAGCGGAGTCCTACACCAGCCGCCCCTCGGACTCGGATGTGTCGCTGGAGGAGGACCGCGAGGCGCTGCGCAAAGAGGCCGAGCGCCAGGCGCTGGCACAGCTGGAGAAAGCCAAGGTGGGACAGAGGGCAGCGACCCCACAGCTGGCTGGTCCCCGGGACTGCGGCTGGGGTTAGGGGGCTCCCCCAGCCAGCCCCAACCTTGCAGGATGCAGGCAGGTGCTCCTGCCACCCCCCTGGCCCTCAGCATCCTCTGCCCTGGCAAGATGGGATCCGCTGCCCCGGGTTGCATGAGGCCAGCCTTGATCCCTTCAACTGCAGCTTGCTCCCCACTGTGTCCCTCAGTGCTGTCCCCAGTGCCTGGTCCTGGGCATCCCAAGCCCCCTGCCTGGCCGTTTCCCTGGCAAAGCCAGTCCCCAGCTTTGGGGCTGTGGGGCACAGCTAGCCCTACCCTGTGCCCTGCTGCCCCTACTGATCCAAAGTGCTTGGTGGGGTGCGATGCTCCTGGAGCGGGTGCCAGCAGACTGCAGGCAGCTCTGCCCTGCTTGGCCCTAGCCCAGCTTTTCCATCCTGGGGTTGGGCCAGGCAGGTGTCGTTGCGGCTAAGGGGCCACCCACCGGCACCCCCCCGCCG